TGGCTGGGGTGTTTCAGCCCTCCCGACCTCCCAGCTCCCACCATTCCTTGCAGCTACTCACCTGTGTTGTTGCTCTGTGAGTAGCTGCTCCTCAAATGAGGAAATCTAATGTAAATGTACTGCGCAAATGCACAGTTCAGAGAGGGCTCAAGAGCTACTCTTAGAGCCCCTGAGATCTATCGGTAGCTCACGATCTACTGGTTGGTGACCATGGGGCTAGAGCATCCCTGATAGATGTCTATCCAACCTGCTCTTAAATATCTCCAGTTATGGAGATTCCGCAAACTCTGCAGGCAAATTATTCCAGTGTTTAACCCCATCCCGCGCTGCTGCATCATGGGGGTGGGGGGAAAAGGTGACACTACAGAGCTGATCGGAGGGGAGGGGGGGAGCGAATGAATGGCTTTTAATCCAGCTCCACCCAGCACCAGCTACTGACTACCCTCTCCACTGCCTCTGTAGGAGGCAGTAAGGGGGTGGGGTGGGAAGAGAGCCGAGATATTGTCTCCTGCAGACCTACATGTGGGGAACCTGCTTGAAAGCCAGCTTCTTTGTTATATCAGCTCCAGCCAGCTCCTCTCTCTCTCTCACCAGGTGGCTCTGGTGCTCATGGGGAATTGGCTTAAAGCTCCTCCACTGCTACCTCTGATCAACAGGGGAGAGGGTGCATGTAGTCGATAAGATTAACCAATAAGACAAAGCTTGTAGGTTAATTGTGTAATTGGCTACACATTGACATCCCTAGGCCAGAGCAATCACATTGGGACACTGGGGGATAACTCCCGGAGGCCAAGAATGTTGACATCCACAGTGCTGCATCTGCACTACCATAAAGTAGACTATGCAAGGCTGAATTTACTGTCACTTATGAAAAGCAGGAGTACCGAAATAGAGTTTAACAAACAAAAGACAGGGTTGCATCTCTATCACTATTCAAAATAGAGTTTAGTGACCCTTTAAGTTGATGGAACAGGGTTGGTAGTATGGACTCATTGTTTAAACAAAATAAATCAACCGAATGAGGCTAAATTTGACCTGAACTTCTAGCGCAGACCAGCCTAGTATTTCACACTCTGTGGTTTCTGGCTTTATTTCCAGACATGAACAAAAGACAATGAACATGAGGATATTGCACAAGTGATAAGTCATTAACTTCAGGAGATGTACCTTAAAAGACAAATACTTTTATTATTAAAGATAACTAAAGGCAAGAACACAACAGCAGTACTTTTTTCCATTAAAAGGCTTCAAAGTTTTCCATGTACATTTGTTGCAACTTGTCACATTTTTTACAATTTTTTCTAAGAACAGATTTGCGTTAAAAATATATTACACTGAGGTGTCAGCATTTGGAGAGTTGAAGTCCTTTCATTCAAAAGGAATAATCCACCTATTTTACTTCTGAAATCAAATGGTTCCAGACTTCATGTCTTCTATTTTTTCAAATGAGACTTGACTAAGTTTTTAAATAAGATTTCAAAACATGTTCATAAAAAAATACGTAAGTCAACTTTTATATACAAAGGATAATTGTGTGTATTTGGAAGTGGATGAAAAGAGAAAGCAAATCTCACAAAATCTCAATATCTGTATTTGGTAGAATAGTCTTTTGGCGACACCACGAGACCTCTACCTTTACGAGCTCCTCTATAAACTGTTTCTATAATGTCGATCATTTCTTGCTTATCTTCCATCGCCCAGTTAATCTTGTTGTTGTTACCTGTACCTAAATCAATCATGATGTGTTTATTCCTTTAAGAAGAAAAAGAAAACTACGGGTCAGTATGATACATTATTCTGTCTCATAATATTTCACAGGTCTCAAGAGCTCTGCAACATGTAGCTCTAACATATAAACGTAGATCAATAAATAAGTATTACACTAAATGGCAGAATATTATCAGCAGAAGCATGTGTTTCTATTGGTGGTGCACATTTGGACATGCCTCGGTGCACAAAACAAAATGTATTATGCACATATATGGAAAAACTTAAGGGAACATTGAATTACAGTAAAGATTTAATTTTATGTTGGCAAAATCCTTTTAAATGTAGCCACACTTTTGTATTTGCTTGATATTTTGAAGAACAAATGCAAGAAGTTCAGCAGTATTACTACTCTAGAAAATGAAAGACATTTCAACTAAGATATAGATATTAACATATTTACATATTAAATGTATAAATTCATAAATACATTTAGGGCTCGTATCTGTATATCTTTAACTTCTAAAAATCAGCCACTGCGCATACTCAAACATGCAAAATAGCTCATTTTAATAGTTACAGTGTTGTCTGCAGCCAGACAGCAGGAAAGAAGAAAATGAAGAAAGCTTTCTTAAATCTCTGCATGGAGATGAATATATATAGTAATACTTCCTGTGTGCAGTGGGCCTCTTCCAATTGAAATTCTCCATTGACTTCAATGGGTCCAATGTGAGGAAAATTACCAGACTGATTTAAGCCACATGGCATAAATTAACATAAAATGCCAATGATAAAATATTGCATTTAGAATACTTAGATATAAAACACTGCCATTTAACTTCTCACTGTACTCAGAGATGAAGATGGCCCTAGAATAAAAATTCAGCCCACAGTCAGGAACTCAGGGTTTATCTTAACTTAAAATGCTGCAGCAGCATCTGCTGTAGCACTTCAGTGAAGACACTATCTATGCTGATGAGATGTTCTTCTGTCAGGACAGGCAATCCACCTCCCCTGAGAGGTGTTATCTAGGTCAATCAGATAATGCTTTTGTCTACTTAGCACTGTCTACAATGGGGGTTAGGTGGGTTTGACTATGTTGTTCGAGGTGTGGATTTTTCACAATCCTGAACGACAGTTCTTAGTGTAGGCCAGGCTTTATTTGCAGCAGCATCTTGGTTCATGGTAGTACTGAAACAAAATACAGGACTATGTAGCACTTTAAAGACTAACAAGATGGTTTATTAGATGATGAGCTTTCGTGGGCCAGACCCACTTCCTCAGATCCCCAGGTCATCTAATAAACCATCTTGTTAGTCTTTAAAGTGCTACAGCGTCCTGTATTTTGTTTCAGCTACACCAGACTAACACGGCTACATTTCTATCACTATTCTACATGGTAGTACTGTTTTTATCATTCGGTGCTAAGTGGCAACGGGTCACGGGATCAGCATTATTGAAGAATTGGTACACGGTGTTAAGCTTTATGGGAACATCTACACCAGCCATCTTGTTAGTCTTTAAAGTGCTACAGCGTCCTGTATTTTGTTTCAGCTACACCAGACTAACACGGCTACATTTCTATCACTATTCTACATGGTAGTACTGTTTTTATCATTCGGTGCTAAGTGGCAACGGGTCACGGGATCAGCATTATTGAAGAATTGGTACACGGTGTTAAGCTTTATGGGAACATCTACACCAGTCGTCCCCGCCACGGCGCCCGCCGGGGCATTTGTGTGCGCCC